ATTACTGTAGGCTCTTTTCCAGCTTATCACTGGAAAGTGTTGAAGGAAATACATTCAGGGTGGTGGATGCTCCCTGCAGCCCCTTCATTTTTTGAAGTTGCAACCTAAATGCCCTCTATTAAGAGCCCATAATAACATATTTGAGAAAGTGGAGGAATGTTTGCAAAACATCTACGATATGGTTTGATCCTTCTCACTAGCTGGCAAAGGACAGTGCAAGGACTGAGGGAGAAATTTTTATTTAATCATTCTCAACCAGCACAGTTTTTCTAGACAATAAACAAAGAAGGAAGGTCCTTGCCCTTAGGAGCATGCAACACAAGCTTAGTCTCAACAGTGTTGATAGGAAGACAGGAAAGGGAGGGGAGTGAAGGGATAGGCAAGAAGAAGAAGAAACGTACACATGCTTACTGGCATTCTTTGGGTTCAAGGAGGGTGCACCAAATGTTCAGGGCAAATGTCCAGGGCTGTCCTCAGCTGGAAAGCCTCCAAAGGCAGCTGGCTGGATGAGCATAATTTTAAAGTACACAAATGAAACAAGGCACATTGTCACCTGAAGAGGGAAATTCCAGGTTGACATGCTAAGTTGAAGGGGACTCGCTGAAAGACCATAAAACACAGACACTAATAATGCTTAATTGCACAATTGTTTCTGTGAATATGGAGAAGGACTTAATGAAAAAGTGGATTTGATTCTAGAGGACCAAGAGATTAAAGCCAATAGGTAACAACAGAATCTAGCAAATCCATGCAGGAAGGGATATGATATAAAAAGAGCTCTCCCAATGATACGTGCATATCCTAATATTGGCTTTCTGTAGTCAGAAAAATGAGTCTCCTTTTATGTCCTTGAAAGTTATTTCATGTGAGTACTCATACAAATTTCTGAAAAATACACCAAGAAAATAATTATTTGACCGACTTAGAATTTTTTTTATATTAGACTTTAAAACTTAGAAAGCTAGATTTTGCAATCTTCACATATTAATGTCAATTGACATAGAAGTATCCAATAATAGGCACTTATTCTGCATTTTTTATTTTTATTGTAATCTGGTTTTGCAGTTAGAGCACCAACACTTTGCCTCTAGTCAATAGAAATCTTAATACAACTGACCTTTAAAATGTTTACATAATTTCAAGCATACATATTTAATATTATTTTCAAAACTTTTTCTGCACTGTTCTCCAAACTGTACTGTTCCCATGAATTTCTTTTTATCCACTGTACAGATAGATTGATACATTTATTTATAGGTAAAGCAACTCAATTAGCAATATCACTGAATAAACTGCTAGCACTATTAATGAAAACCAACATGTAACAGTAGAAAATGGTAGAAAATGAATTTAGATATGGGACATGTACATTTCCCATATCTAACAATAAAGATCTGTGAGTGAAAACTAAAATGAATATTTGCAAATATTTGATATGCATGGAAACGCCTGACTTCCACACATAACTTTTGAATGAAAACATTTTTAAATAAAAAAGAAAAACACAGTGTGTATATAGAAAGTACAGCTTCATCAGAAAATAGACAGTTTAGTTCTGATAATGTCCATCTTGGTTTGGCTGACATCAATCAAGAAATAAGTCTTCAAAAGTTAATATTATTGCATGTTCCCTATGAAATCCTGTTAAACATTAGTTGCCATTACATGTCATTGTTACATGTGATTTCATGCCAACTAATAAGTACTAATAATGTACTAATAAGTACATTCACCACTATTATGTCAGGTGCAAAGAACCAGGAACACTCGCTGAGTGTTATTATTGCTACCTGTACATAAAAACCTGGTTAACTAATGGTCAAAGCTAAACTGGTGCTAGACAAGGGTCAGTGGAATTCACAGGGGATTGGAGTTAGATCGTTTATTGGGAGCACAAAGATTCCAAATTGATAACATGTTTAACTCTTCCTTAGAGCTCAGCCTGCTCATCTTTTATATATTACTTATTAAATAATCCAACGCTACCATATTAACAATCATGAAATGTCAAATACTATGATCAATTAATTACAATATACTAAACACAACAGCTCAGCAACATTTAACCAGAATATATATTCTGAGAATAACCAGAATTAGATTTTACAAAAAAATCTGACAATCAGATCATTTTTATTCCAAATAGAGTAATCTTGGTTTACTCTAGACTCATTTATTCTACTTCACAGTTTCATAAGTTAATACCACTGTAAACCTTTTAGGGTAGGCTATTACAAAAGATGCCACATCTTCTTTGTACTCTCTCTCTTTCTTTTGATCTTAGAAGAAACACTTGACATTTAATATCACCAAAGAACAGAGAGCATGTGAAAAATTATAAAAGTACTCATATACCTACCATATACACTGCTATATCAGGAGCATAGTATAGTCCTGTATATTCTCTGCAATTGGCTGTAATAAAGCAGCTAGAGTTTTTCCCTATCTGGGAGTTGGGCAGCACATACATAAAAATAATAATTATTTTCTTCCTGCCTATTTATTGCTTTCAGAAGGAAAAGATTTACATGGGCGTAAAAGGAACTTTAATGTCATCCACCCAATTCTTATTTCCTTTATTGGTTCAGGTATTTAGAGTCATGTTTGCAAGGTAGACCTAACTCCAGTGGTGGGATTCAGCCAGTTCGCACCAGTTCGGCAGAACCGGTAGCTAATTTTTTGTTGCCCAGGCCCAGAATGGACTTCCGAAACAGCATCCACACAGAGAACCGGTTGTTCACATATTTGAATCCCACCACTGCCTAAGTCTGAGACATTGGCAAAATGAAATGCAGGAAGAAAGCGTGATTTGTGAAAAATGGGAAGCTACTGGTAGGGAAAAGGTTAAACCCTCTCTCCTCATCTTCACTTTTGTAATGCAAATCACGGAGTAAATGTAATGTGGGCACACACAGACATCACTGGACATTTTTTTCCTGGAAAGGAGACAAAAGCCCTAGGAATTCATGACAGAAGTGTAGTAACTTGTTTTAGTCGAGTGAAAAGAAAGTTGAATTTTCAAATAATTGTAAAGCTGTGGGGAATCTGAGGCAAAGAACCTAGTCAAATTAGCATAAGGAAAACATAATAAAATGTGAAACAGTTTTTTCCCGTTCACAAAAGATGTTGGTTGTGATTCAAAAGTAAGCCAGCAAGGTAATATTTCTATTATTATGAGATCAAGCAGGTTGTCTCACACAAGTTTTAAAAGGCTTTCAATTATGTAGACATATTTTCTCTTATCAACACACTTGTCATTGAAAAAAACAGTCCTCTAAACCAGTGCTTCCCAAACCTGGACATATTACTCCAAATTGGATAAAAGCAGTTTTTCTTTAGGTAATGACACACAAACCTATTACCCAATCAGAACAGGGGTATTTAAATTGACTTAAAGAGTTGTACTTAGGTATATTGGGTAAAAAGGACTTTCTGATAAGCAGCTTTGGGTAATGAAGGAAAAAAATTGGGAACCACTGATCTAAACTATGTACTTAAACCTAATCCATGTAATTAGTAGTCAGCAAAGAATTGCAGAGCCAGTTTGGTGTAGCGGTTAAGGTATCAGGCTAGAAACTGGAAGACTGGGAGTTCTAGTTCAGTTCTAGGCATGAATCCAGCTGAGTGACCTTAGGCCAGTCTCTCTCTGCAGCCCTAAGAAGGAGGCAATGGCAAAGCACTTCTGGAATCTTGCTAACAACACTGCAGGGATTTGGCAGGCAGGCAGGCAGGCAGGCAGGCAGGCAGGAAGGAAGGAAGGAAGGAAGGAAGGAAGGAAGGAAGGAAGAAAGAAAGGAAGGAAGGAAGGAAGGAAAACCAAAACCCAGTTCTTTGGTTTTGGGCAACCCACAGAATGGTTCCCACTTATCCAAGAGAGTATTTTCCAGAAGAGGACCTGATACTTCCTTTATGGAAAAGATGTTTCTCAAGCATCATGCTTTCAAGCCAATAACAATCAATGAAATTAATAAGCTATAGGGAACTCACTGCTTGTCTTGAAAGGGAGCAGCATGAGGAGTATGTACTGTATGGATGTAGGTCTATTTTTGCAACTTCTTCATCATTTCCAATTTCAGATATTTTTATCTCCCAGAAAAAAAGACCCCTTAATATCTTGTCTGATTTTTGCTCCTAATTCTAGCCTCTAGCTGCTCAGACACCACATCTGTTATTTCAACATCTACTGCCTTCATACTAACTGTAGTGGCATTGCATTACTGACTTGTGATCCCCACATTACATTCTATCAACCACTGTCTAAGCAGTGCTGTTCACTTGCCAAACACTTCCTTGAAATCCAACTTCAACACAGAAGAATAAATTAGCACAAAATAAGCTAACGCTCGCAGTGTCCCTTATTACTCATAATATATCCTTGCCTCAAAACCGGGCTTTAACACATTAACAATCTGTTCACAAAGCAGTAAACTCATTCATCAGAAGTCTTCTTCCCTTAGAGAACTACGGTCCTTAGATAAGAAAAGATTGTAATAAAGACGTACACTACATCATACATAACAGGTCAACGCGATTCCAGAATTACTCAGATTCCACAACAGTATGTCATTGTACAAACATTCAGATTTGACCAAAGGGACTAATCTCCAATTTTTAGTTGTCTAATCTGTGCCTGGCAATAAGCTATTCTGTTTCTCTGTGACATTACAACTGCATGCATGACAGCTGATGACACCACAACCTCTGCAAGTGTCTATTGTGACGTCAAATAGCATTAGCTATTTACTGCTAGATGTAGATTGAAAATTGTTCATATGATATTGGTGACAACCGAAGCCAACTTGCAAATCTGTCAACTCACCTCTAAGTAAGTGTGTGCACGTAAAGGTAGATAGATGGATACATACCCACATGCATTCACATATAAATACAACCCTTCACAATCATTTTTGAAAACAGCCTGCCTTTCCCCCTCAGTTGGTGAATTACTTACAAAGACAAATATACCAGTTAATCAGACAGTCAAACTTCAGGGCACTTACTTTTCATAGTCATGCTTACAATAGAGCTGCCTGTTGCGACAATAGCATGTTCCCGAGAGAGGCTGGAGGCAAGCAGCACATTTCACACAGCCTTCGTGCCAGGAGCGCTCATTCACTCGCAGCAGGAAGCGATCTGAGATTGGGGTGTTGCAACCAGCACAAACCTCCCGCATTTTCGATTCTGAGCCTAACGGGAGAAAAGAATGATAATTGTTGACAATCTCAGCAGACTTATATATGAGCAAATACAATCCACAAAGTTCAAGGTGAAAGTCTGGGGTACAGGATAGGGAACTGTAGCCCCCTCCCCAGATCCTTTAGAATTTAGACATTAGCATGATTGGGTATTGAAATATCTGAAGGGGACAATTTTCTATCTTTGAACTGGGAAATTTACCATGATTACCATGTGATTCTGTGCTTGTCTTCTAAGAATCAGGTGCCACTGAAATTTATTGGATTTACTTCTACTATGTACAGGATTGCAACCAGGTGCCTTATAAAATCATTCAGGTTCCAAGGACTCAAATAACAGGTCCCGAGGACTCACCCTTATCCTGCAAGTAAATTATATGTAACTGCAAGTAAAATTGCATAATTCTATTTTATTTGCATGGCATGGATTAGACTTTTAGACTTTTGATGATTTGATCTTGTAAAATATGTATGCATTTACTATTAAGTGGTATGTATTACAACTATTTTTCAGGTGAGGTATATGTAAAATCACTTTTTCAGCTGAGCTTGATTCCTGGTGATGTCATGGACAGATCACTAAAGCCAAGGACTTAATAGCTTGCCCAGTTTGAGAATCTGAAAATTGTAGTGGGCATAAATTGAATAAACAAAGAAATAAAATCCACAAGGATTCTATTTAATGTCCAAATCCTACTTTTTAAAAAGAGGTGTCACTTATTAACTCTGAACAATCCCCAAACCAAGCATCCATAAATGTCAGAGTTCCAACATAATAAATAAAGTACAACCATCTAAATCCAAATCCTACACAAACCTCAAAACTCAAAAAATATAATCATCCTTACCCTTCAATCCTTCTAACTCTATTGTTACTATAAAAATTACTGCTGCTCATCTTCTCATAGTTTTCCATTTAGCTAGCTCTCCAGCAATTCGGTGCTCTCCAGATGTGCTAGATTTCAAATGTCATCCTCTAATGAGGCTGGGGTTGAAGTCCAACATCTGGAGGACAGCAGCATGGGGAAGGCTAATCTAGTCCATTTCCAGGATTTACAGATTGAAAAGATAATTCATTGATAATCTTTCCATTTCTGCTATTTTTGACGTAAGCAGGACAGGCTCATTTCAAACTGGATGTGTGTGATATACGGCATCTTCCAATTGGGATTATCAGTGAGTTGACCTATTCCAGCCCTTCCATGGCTTCTCAAGAGGAAATGCAAAGATAAAGTTGTACACATGGGTTAAAAAACACCATCCAGCATTGAAGATTTATTTTAGGAAGGAACTAAATAAGGCATAAAATTTTTGTCAAATGGATTTTATTCCTCCTTCAGGGCTGAGTTTGGTGGATTCTATTAGCACATCTCATTTGCTTTTGGTCTTCCTTGCTTTTATTTTTTTAAATTTCATTTTGCAGGCTCTATTTATTATGTACATCTCTGCCCAGTGGCTTAGACTGAAGCTCTTGCCATGTTGGCTATTATGCTTTGCAGGGTTTAAACAGAAAGGTGATGCAAGCACGTCAGTTTATTTGCCTTCTTGCTGCTGGTTTTTAGCATATAAAAAGAAAACTGGTGCATGTCTTTTCCAGGGCAATGGTTTCTGATTGCTGGTGAAGATTTGAGGCAAATGCTGGCTGGTGTTGCATGAATAAAAAAAAAATCTAGGTTAATTGCTTGAATGGTCAGTTGCTTCATTGGTCACCAGATGCTGGTTCGTCTATTGGTTTTCCCCAGTCAATTGAACTTATTAACAGAATACAAAGGAAAAGTGTATTGAAAATTAGAGGCAAGTAACAAAGAGATAGCAAAACACAGAGTTACAGCAGACCCATTAAATGAACGTTGAGCTTAAGATAGTCACTGCTAATTCATTCTTTGAATAAAGCAAAAGAAAATCAGTATACCAGTTAAGCAGAAAACATATTTATCCACATTTATCAAAATTCAGGAAAATTTCTTGGCAAAACAGACTTTTAAAAAAGATGGGCATAATTGTTCCAAGTACAAAAAGCAGGCTGATTTTTAAGAAAGGGCACTGAACGAGAGTAGGCATCATCTTAGGAAAGGAATTTTTCACTTTGAGACAGAAAGCTGAGGGTGCCTCATAAGATGGGACTTGCCGCATGGAGTTTTGATAGCAGGCATATGTTAAACAGAACAGACTGACAAGATTAAAATGTATTGTAAAATTCTGTAGCTGAATCTCATTAGGCACCTGTAGATCTTTTCCTATGGATTTTCAGTACTCCCACAGTATACAGAACAAAATGTTAGATCAAACTCAAACAATAAATCAGAGTTCAGACTTATTTTAAAATAGAAAAGAGCAGAACTATAAACCTTTAGATTCTACAACATTTAGATATATTTCCCGCCCACTGAAACAAAGAAATTCTGGTCTGGGAATTCTCAAAAGGAGACAAACATAAGAGAAGCCCTCTTTCCCATTTGCACATTGATTATTTGTCTCATTGTGTGTTGAGACCCACAAGAAAGTCCTAAAAGAATTCATGGACAGCATCTTTTGCAAGAAAACTTTGCACTTTGTACCATAGGGAAGTTTGTTCTGTTTGATCACTCCATATTTAAATTATTTATTTCAGAACTATTTCATCGTTTTGTAAAATGTTTTGGGAGTGTTCCAGAGGATGACAAGTACAGAAATATTTCTCATAACTCAATAACAGACTTCAAAGCTTTTATTTCGGCTTCAATTTGTCTAGAAACAAATGAGAGGCTGCTGATAATAGAATTCTGCTGATAAATTACAACCAAAGCAGGGCTCTTGTTTTCCATGCAAGTGACCACTTACAGAATTGACTGTTGCCTCTCATTTCTCCTGCCTGAACTCAGTTTTAGCTAGATGTAGAGCAACACCTGGTGTTATATAAGAGCAGCAAATTATTTCTTATATTGTTATCTTTACCCCACTACATCCAGAAACAGGTGCTTTGGGATGTTTTGGCCTTGGGGACAGAAATAATTTGTCCCATGTGCTATTTTTTATATATATATATAAAACTCTAACTCAGGCAACACAATTCTCTCTGACCGTGCCTGAAAATCCATTGAGAAGAGAGAGAAATTAGATTTGTAGTAAAGATTGATCACTGTTTGGCTGCACCTTCTCAGGGCTGTATGGGGCCTGAAGTATCAAGCAGCCCTGGATCATTTCTTCCAATTGCACTCCTATAAAGTGTTGCTGACTCCTCAGTGGTGCAAATGTGTACAACAATATTAGGGTGTGATGAAAAATAAACCCCAGCAAAATTGAGTGGTTCTGGATTTTTTGGGGTTTTCTCTGGTTTACGTGAGGTACCATCTTTGATTCTTGTCAAGTCTGCACTTCTCAGACAGAGCTAATGATTCATCTTGGGCTCCAATTGGGCCATTCCTGGACTGAGAAGCTATGCTCACCGTTACTCAGGCCTTGGTCATTTCCCAGTTGGATTACCGCAATGTAGCAGTGCCCTCGAAGACAACCCAGAAATTGGTGACACACAGTTTTGGGTACACTATGTTTCACCCATATTATAGCACTGCTGGATACGTTGTGCAGGTTCCCAGTTTCTTTCCAGGTGTGATTGAAGGTGTTGGTTATTAGCTTTAAAGCTCTTAATGGCAAAGGATCATGTTGTTTGTGGGACTCTCTTTCCCTGAGAGTATCTGGCAGCTCCACTAATTCTGGAAGCTGCCCTAACTCCCAGGGGGATTCCAAACACAATTCAAAGTGCTGCTCATGTCCTATAAAGCTCTCTGTGGCTGAGGACCAAGTTACTTGTGGGACTGTCTATCTCTGATTGCCTTGCTTGTCCCACCAAAGCTATTCCAGGTCCTGACTATTAGGCGCATGTCATCTTGTGGGATATAGAAGCCACGCCTTATCTTTCATTATGCTTGCCCTGTGGAACACTATGTCCCCAGAGATTTGGATGACCTTGACCAGGGGTCTTCAAACTTGGTCCTTTTATGACTTGTGGACTTCTACTCCCAGAATTCCTCAGCCAGCATGCCTGGCTGAGGAATTCTGGGAGTTGAAGTCCACAAGTCATATAAAGACCAAGTTTGAAGACCTCTGACCTTGACCCTATTGGTTTTTTGTAAGGCATTAAGGAACTACACATTCCATGGTATTTTGGGTAGGAGATTAAACAAGCCCCACTGTCTGGATTGTTTAGTAACAATTTTACTGACTAGAAATAGAATTATTTTTCAAGCCCAGACATGTGCTATATTATTGGATATTTATTTTTTATAAAGGCAGCTATTTTGGCGATGGGGTTTATTTATATTTTTTTATTCAATTTTTATCCAGCTTTTATTACTTTATTGGTAACTCAAGGCAGTTAACATACCTAATGCTTCTTCCTTCTCCTACTTTCCCCACAACAGCAAACCTGTGAGGTGGGTTGGGCTGAGAGAGTGGGACTGGCTTAAAGTCATCCAGCTGGCTGCCATGCCTAAAGTGGAACTAGAACTCACAGTCTCTGGTTTCTGGCCCAGAAGCTTAACCACTACACCAGGGGTAGGCAACCTTGGCTCTTTTATGACTCGTGGACTTCAACTCCCAGAATTCCTGAGCCAGGAATTCTGGGAGTTGAAGTCCACAAGTCATAAAAGAGCCAAGGTTGCCTACTCCTGCTCTACACCAAACTGGCACTCTAGGCTGTAGGCTTCCTATAGTCATTCCAGTGAGTTGGGCTGCTATTAATTGTAATATATAGGTGTGTATGTATATACTGTATATAAGTTACGGTAAATATATAGAAAAGGTTTCAAGCATCTGCATACTCAGAGCAGGGATAAAAGTGATTTTCCCCACTGAGATAGTCCCTTGCATGTCCCATCTCCAAAAGAGAGGAAATGCATCACAGATACAGAAGGGAACATTTGCATAATGTAAATGGTAATTCATAGGTAGGAATATAAATTCAGAAAGCAGAACATTACAGAAAAGCCAAAACAAAACA